GCCAGACCCACAAAGAAGAACGTGTGCAAGGTCTGCTCTGTGTAGGGAGGCTCTGGGCTCCATCCCGGTCAGGCCCACTCAGAGCAGAGGAAAGAGCGGAGAGAAGCCTGCGCCCAGGCAGGTCTGTACCAGATGCAGCTCCAGCTCCGACTGGCTGTAGGCTTTGGGCAAACTGCTTCACTTCTCCAAGCCCCATACTTGGCATCCCCGAGGAATAGCCCCAGAAAAGCCCAGCCCCCCACCCCCCGAGTGGCTCCAGGGCATTCAGCCCACAAGCTGTACGGTGGGTGTGCTGGTCTCGGGGACTTCAGGGGCACCCGTGCAGGCAGAGATGCACAGGACCCATGCAGGCTGAAAGGCCTGGACCTTGAGGGGGGACTGGGGGCAGGTGGCAGCTGAGCCTGCCTGGCTTCCTGGGAGAGGGGGCTGGGCTGGCAGAGCATCAGGGCAAATTCATTCCATCCCTGCTGCCCAGGGTCCCAGGGAGGCCTGGCCCTCCCGTAGACCTGAGCAAGGCCGTGTGTCCAGCACCCAAAGCCATTCCTGTGGCCTTGTTGATGGCCAGAGCCTGCCCACACTTCCAAGCCTCCCGACATTGACTCAGGCCCACAGGCCAGAGCCTCTCCCTCCCTTTCTCTCTTCAGAAGAGGAAGAAAGACTTAAATTGCAATGGCTCTCCTGTCACAATCCCCATCATCAAGAGTCACACTTAAACCACCCATGGTGAATTTTTTATTTGTAAAATTGTGCTCTTGGCCTCCAGTTCCCTGAAGGGAGAGGGCAGGAATGGGTCTAATATAAAATCCAAAGTAACTCAAGAGAGCAGTGAATGGCAGGTCTTTTAAAGCTGCCTTTTTACCCTCTCATAACCTGCCCCTCTCAGCAGGCTGAGGTATGAGGAGGAAAAGAGAGCACCGAATAAGCCCACTGTGGTGGGGCTGGGGGCTTCCCAGTTCCTCCCGGGCTCCGGTGAGCCCGCCGCAGGAGCTGGCACCACACCACAGATGTCTGCTCTCACCTCACCAAGATCCCAGCCCCCAGCACCCACTGCATTTGTAGAAAAATGTGGAAAGGAGCAGCGGAGGAGGTGAGCACTCCAAACTGTGCACACTGGGTGTCCGTGTCCTCTCCGGGGAGCCGGGTGGAGCCCCGGCTGGCCGTGTAGTCTCCCCACCCACCTGCAGTGGAGAAACTGGGCGCCTGCCTGGAGCGTGAGGGCCAGGTCCAGGCCACCACCACTGAGGCTGACACTGAAGAACCACCGATGGTTAGCGGGGCGGTCTGGGTTATGACATGGAGGGATTTTTTCCTGGCAGGTGGTTTTGCATGATCGCACTGAAAATGAGCTCAGCTAATAGATGTGCTCTTCTCATGCTGAGGTCATACTCACAGTCCCAGCTTAATTTCTAAAGAACGGTACGCTTTCCAGGACGAAGAGAACAGGGTTGGAGGCTTTGGGAAGTGGGAGAACTGTCCTGGGGGGGGCGGTCGATAAAGGCAGACGTATGCCGTGCTCTAGGGATAGTGGAGCCCCATAGATGTGGCCTCTCCTTCTGTTCAGGAAGGGAGGCAGAGGAGAGGAGAGAGGACAGGCGGGAAGCTCATCCCTGCCGAAAGCGAACTGGCTGCCTCTGGGGGACTCGGTGCCCAGCTTGGCCTGCCATGGTCATTGGAGGCAGCAGCAGTGGGGAGCTGGGTCATGGAGACCCTTGAGCCTGGTATGCACAAGTTACCCTTTGGGCCCCCCCATAGTGTCTCCGTGAGGTCACCATGCTTCTCCCTGGGCCAGATCCATGCAGGCAACAGCGACCATAACAGATTATCCTGCTGACCAGCTGAGGGCAGGAAGGCTGAGAATCTGCTCCACATCCCGTGACCCCTGGAGCGTGCCCAGGGGTTGTCATTGGCCAGGTGGATGGGAATGAACCCAGGGCCTCTCTCCTTTCCTCCCCCAGACCGGGCAGGTGGGACAAGGGTGTGGAGGGAGAAAAAGGGGAGAGGCCGTGGGAAGGTGGGAAATGCCAGGGACCAGGCAGAGGAAGGGAAAACCCAGTGCTTATCTCAAAACTACAGAGTGAGGCCCCACCCCGCTGGGCTCATGGCAGTGTGGGAGCCACTTCCTTTCCATGCGGCGGGTCCTCTAGGTCACCTGGGAAGAGCAGCATTACCCTGGAGATCTGTGCCCCCCGACAGAGGGCCCAGCAGCCTCAAGGCGCTTACCTCATGCCCTCTCCATCCTTCTAGTTCAGGAGTTGGCAAAACACAGAGACTTCAGAGATTGAGGGCTCCCAGCCTCTGAGCCTCCCAGTGCGGCCCTGGACCTGAGGTCACCTTGTGCTCACATGCTTCTGGTGCCAAGTATTTGGCTCTGACCAAATAAAAGGTCATGACAACATTCGAGAGGACCCAAGGACTGTCCAGAGCAACTCAGAACAGGACAGCAGAGGCTGGCAAGAGGATGCAAGGACTCTTTGGCACGCTAATCTGTGTGGGTGTTGCCTAGGGCCTGGGCATTCCGGGGCTGAAAGGCTCCTCTCGCTTGGTGGAACTCTGGGGGCTTGAGCAGAGCCTGGAGGAATGGTGGGTAGAGGAAAGGGATGAGAACTTAAGGATCGGGGAGGATGGAACCATGACCCCAAGCCCTGTGTGACTCCTGCTCCCCTTCCCGCCTTGGCAGACCCTTCCCTTCCAGCCCGGGCGCCTGGCTCCAGACCCACACCCAGCTGTGTGTTTGCTCAGTGGGTCTGGCTGGAATGGAACTAAATCGTATTGAGTCAGGAGAATGACTCGATTTATGAAAGGAAACCAAGGAATAAATCAACAAGATATCCCCAGAATCAGCTGAAGGCAGAGGTTGGTGGAGGCTGCTTATTCCATCTGTCTTGTTTTGCAATGGCTCTTTTCTGGCGGAGCCTCGGGTGCACCTGCCCCCGCTCAGTTGCTTTGTAAGCTGCCTGCTGAACAGCTCCGAGTGCAGAAGCTGCTTCTTCCCTTTCACTGCGGAGAGGACAGAGGCTGCAGTGGGGCTACCTCAGGGATCAGCTGCCTGGTGCTGCTTCAAGTTCAGCTGTCCCTGGGCCCCTGCCATGGCAGGGAGCAGGTTTGCCTATGAAACAGCAAAATATTGCTGCAGTCCTTTTCACAGACCAGCGGTGTGCCGGCAAGCGCTGTGCAGTTACACAACCTGCCCCTTCCTTCCTTCCTTCCTTCCTTCTTTTTCTTCTTTCATTTTTTTTCCTCTTTCTTTCTTTCCTCCTTTCTTCTTCTCTTTCTTTCTCTTTTCTTTCTTTCTTTCCTTCTTTGCTTAGGATTAAACCCAGGGCTTTTGTACTGAGCTACTAGCCCTTTTTTAAATTTTTATTTTGAGACAAGCAAGGTCTTGCTAAATTGCTAAATTTCCCAGGCTGGGCTTGAACTTGCAATCCTCCTCCCTCAGCCTCCAGAGTGCTGGGATTACAGGCATATGCCACCATGCCTGGCTTCCTGCTGTGTTTTAATTCTCTTCCCACCCAGCAGGGCACTCCTTCCTGCCTGCCAGTGACAGGGTGCAGCACAGGGGCACCTGCCCTGGGGGGCAAGGCAGCCATTGCTGGGGCAGGTGCTTCCCCAGCTTGGGCCTTGGCTTTTATGGGTAAAATGAGAAGCTGGAAAGGGGACCGCCTGCCCCTGGCTCGGTATGAGGCTAAAGGATGGTGTGGCCCAGCCACCTGCTCTCTGTGGCGACGTGGATGGAGATAAGGATGACAATTTTTCTAGATCTCAAGAAAGAGGCCCCATCCACTGCCTTTTAGTTCCAGGAGCTCTTTATTTTCTTTCTCTTTTACACTAAGTTTAAAAATTCAAGGCCAGGGATTTAGCTCAGTGGTTCCACCACCTGCCTCGCAAGTGGAAGGGCCCAAGTTTGATCCCTGGTACAAAAACAAAAAAATCCATGCACATGTACACACAAACAGGCTTTGGGGGGTAAGACAGTGGTGACGGCTGCATAATGTTGTGAATATACTTTGTGCCCCTAAACCGTTCCCATAAAAATGGCTAAACTGGTCAATTCCAGGGATGTATCTTTTACCACCATAAAAAAGATGTGCAAGGTCTGTATACAGGACGCTATGAGCCGTGACTCAAACAAATAAGGAAAATCTAAGAGGCAAAGCACCCAGTGCACCCACTTGCGTGGACACACAGCCCCTCCTGTCTGAGCTCCAGTGATCTCCTGACAGGGGCAGGATTAGAGGTCTGACTCAGGGATGAGGCCTCCAGCTCCCCACAAATGTGCCGTGTGGGACTTTGGGTGAGAACCACGAGCTCTCTGGCTCTCCAGCACCCAGTGAAAACAAGAGTAACCTGTGGGCCCTGCCACTCTGTCCATAGCTCCAGGTTTCTTCTGCCAGTAGAAGCTACCAGAAGCTGCACCCAATTTCCATCAGTGTGCAGTGGTTCCTTCTATGAGCATGTATGTGATGTGATTTAGGATTCACCTGTTTTTCTTCAATATAATAGTAAAATAAGTTTGCATGCCATGACCATGCACAGGGACACAGAGTGATGTGCCTGCCACCCAGATGCCAAGTTGCAGGGGCAGGAGGGTACCCTGTCTGGAACTAAACCTCCCCAACCACAACCCACAAAGCCTGCACCTGAGGACACCCTCAAAGCAGGGCAGGGCTTCGGGAGGGTTGGAGAGGGATACTCAGGGTTTGGGGCCAAGGAAAGAAAGGAGAAAATAAAAAGGAACATCCTGGGGTTGCAGAGAAAATGAGTTTGGGAGGAAAGCTGGCTGGTCCCACCCAGGTCCATTTGCCTTCTCCTTCGCCTTGGCCTGGTAAATAATACCTCAGCCCCCAGCGTGGTGGGAGCAGCCCAGCCTCCTGGGTGGCTCAGGGAGAGCACTCTGCAGCCAGACCTGCCTTCCTCGCTCGTGAGCAAGAGCAGCTCTGGCATCCAGATGCAGGATGGCGACGCTGATTGTGATTCTCTCTCCTTTCTTTTTCTTTTCTTAGAGAGCCCAGAGTGCCTCGGGGAAAGTTGGCTGAATAAAAGGTATAAAGACTTTTGCTTTTCTTTTTTTTTTTTCCTGAGTAGTTTTTGACAGATATGAGCATGTTGAACATCTTGGGAGCTGCTGGTAATGAACGCCAGAATTCCTGGGGTTTCCCATGGGCCCGAGGGAAGAGAAGCTTGGGGGCCGGGAGGGAAGTTTTGGTGTCATTGAGCACCCCCAAGACACTTCCATGCCATCTCCACTCTTATTTCCCAGGGGGCAGGCCCAACATGTGCTGGGGAAGGCAGGACTGGGGGCTGGAGGGTCCCAAAGAGGAATGAGTGCACAGTGGGCATAAGGAGTTTGTTTTAGGAAACTCCACCTGGCCTCAGAAGCAGCTTTGATTCCTTCCTGTTCCTATTCCACCCTCTCCCTTCCCTGAGACCCCCCTTTGGTACTACCAGCCTATCCCCAGGTACTAAGTGCATGCCCACCCATCCCCTGGGCAGCAAGGTCTTAGGACCACAAGGGCAGCCCCAGGCCCACTGATCTGGACTGGTTCACCTCTCTTCATGGCCGGGTCCCCTCTGTGGACACTGAGGCCATCAGCTCAGGTCCCAGTGTAAACTCCCTGGGGAGGCGGGACACTGCTGACCGGAGCTTGTCTCTCCCAGTGTTCCCCGCAGCCCGCTCCCCACAGCCCACGAGCAGCTCATCTCCTCTGTGGATTTACCGGCAGAGATTTCTTTTGGGGGATGATGATACAAATAGTGTCGATTTATTGTGAACAAAATCAGAATGTGCTGACATGCAATGTCTGCGATTCTTCGTTCCGGGTGGGCTTCTACCTGGCAGGCTCTCGGGACTTAGGTGGCGTCTTGGACCGTCTGTGCTGCTATAACACAGTAGCTGAGGCCGGGTACTTTAAGACGAACAGAAATTTGATGGTATTGGAGTCTGGCAAGTCCAACACCATTGTGAGTGTACTGTCCTGCGAGAGTCCTCATGCCATATCCTCACAGGGAAGGAGAGAGAGCAGGGGAGGCCAGACTTGCCCTTTCGCAAGGGCACATCCAGCCTACCCTGAGGGGACAGCCCTGCTGGCCTAATCAGCCCTTACTACAGTTTCCAAGGCAATGAAATTTTAACTCAACCTCTGGAAAGGGGCCTTCCAACATGGCAGAGGGTGTGTGTGCCAGGACAGCAAAATGTTTTCCAAACGTCAGAAATGAGAGTAGACCTGTCGGGTTGGGGAGTGTGATGTCTTCCTAAGCTAAACACTGGAAATTCCCCTGGGTGATTTCACGTGGGTGTGTGTTTGCCTCCACCTGTCCTTGGTTCAGACAACAGGGTCTGGAGGTTGACTTGTGCGGGGATATCCTGTCCTGGGATCCATAGCAGGCCACCTGGGCTGTCTGTGGACAGGACTCTTGCCTGGGGTCCCCTGTTTCATCTTCTTCCAGATGGAACCCGGACTTGGGCTCTCTGCTCACGGGCTTCCATCATGACAGGGACAGAGAGCTGGGGCCCGGGGAGTCTCCTTGAAGGCATCCCACGGTGGGCAGTGGGCCTGCTGAGTGGCTGCCCGTTCCAACAGTGACAGACACAGTTCTCCGTGGGAGGAGACAAAATGTGGCTGCTGGTGGCTTCCCACCCTCACTGAGTATTCTTTCCCTCAAGAAGGGGAGACCAAGTCTGCTTCATCCAACAGAGCCTTGGGGCAAGCCCACTGATGGGGTAGGGTCCGTTCCTCCTCTAAGGAACAATGCAGAGATTTGTCAAACTTGTGTGCATGTGTTATTTAAACAGCTTTAATAAAGTATGTGGGCTAAAAACAGAAAAAGACACCAGGTGTGTGCCATTTCTAAGTCTCAGTACACGTCTATGCCCATGACACCTTCACCACAGTGAAAATAATGCTGCACCCTCAGTCCCCAGCTTGCTGGTGCCACTTCGTAATCCCTTTCTCCACCACCTCCTCAGCACACTCTTCCCTGGCCAGCCCACACCCGCTCTGCTCACTGTAAATAGACTGTATTTTCTAGAGTTTTATATAAATAGAACCATGCCATATGTACTTTTTTTGTTGTTTGGCTTCTTTCACTGGCATCGTGGTTTTGAGCTCTGTTGGTAGTGCTATGTCTATAAATAGTTGGCTCCTGGTTGCTACTGAGTGGAGTTCCATGGCATGAATGTGTGCTAACGTGCTGATCCATTTACTCCTTGAAGGACATCTGAGTGATTTCCAGTTTGGGGCGATTACAAATAAAGCTTGCATGAATATTTGTGTGCAAGTCTTTGTGTAGACACATGCTTCCTCTCCTCTCGAGTAAGACACTTCTGAAGAATCAGCGGCTGAGTCCTCTGGAAGTGTCTGCTCTAACTCCACCTTCCCACCAACCTTGTGCAGGGGGCAGTTGTGTATCTGTACCAGTGCCTGACGTTACCGATCTTTATAATTTTAGCCATTCTCCTGCATGTGTAGTGGGAAACTGCATTTCCCTGATGACTAAGAAACCTGACATCCTTAGGTCTTCTTTAATGAAGTGTTCTCTGTTCAAAGAGAGCTTTGTCAATTTTTTAAATTGGAATGTTTGCTTAGTTGTTGTTAAGTTTGGGAAGGTTTTTACATATTCTCAATACACATTCTTTATCAGATATGTGTTTTGCAAATATTTCCTTCTAATTGATTTGTCTTGTCACTCTCATAATGGCATCCTTTGAAAAGCACAACTTTTTAATTTTGGTAAAGTCCAGTTTATCAACTTATTATTTCCTTTTCTTCTTTTTTGGTACCGGAAATTGAACTCTGGACCTTGAGCTTGCGAGGCAGGCAGCAGAACCACTGAGCTAAATCCCTGGCCCTCAACTTATTCTTTATGCATCGTGCTTTTGATGTTGTATCTAAGAAATCTCAGCCTGGTCCAAAGTCACGAAAGTTTTATTCTCTAAACTTTTTTTTTTTAGGTTTTACATTTAAGTCTGAGATTTATCTTGCCTTAATTCTGTGTGTGGCATGGGGTGTGGGCTGATGTTCATTTTCCAGAAGGTAGGTATGCAATGATTTCACTATTGCTTATCAGAAAGATGATCCTTTCTCCACTGAATTGCCCTTGCAGCCTTGTCAAAAATCACTTGTGCCAGTTATGAGTCCGTATCTGGACTCTGTATTCTGTCCCCCTGATCTGTTTGTCTATGTTGGTGCTGGTACCACTACAGGGCCAGGATTACTGGAGTTTTTAGTAAGTCTTGGGATCAGGAAATCTTCTTGTTCTTTGTTCTTCTTTTTCAAAGTTGTATTGGCTATTCTAAGCCCTTTGTATTTCCATGTGAATTTCTAAAACAGAAAAAGGGATGAAAAAGAAAGGAAAGAAAGGGAAGGGGAGGGCAGGAGAGGGGAGGGAAGGGAAGGGAAAGAGGGAAAGGGAAGAGAAGGAAAAAAGGGAAGGAAAGGAAAAAGGATGAAGGACAGGGACTTTGACCAAGATTGCATGGAGCCTATATCAGCTTGGAAGACATCTTAAAACCTTTGAGTCTTCTGACTTACAGCAAGATTTGTCTCGCCGTTTATTTACAACTGTGTTCATTTCTCTCCTCATTGGTTTGCAGTTTTCAGTGTATGGGTATGTCAGATTTATCCCCAAGTATTTAATATGTTAATCCTATTTTGCACAATCTCTTCTTTCAATTTCTGATTGTTGCTTTGTACAAAAATAAAATAGATTTATTGTTATGTATATTGATCTTGTATCTTGCAACCTTGCTAAACTCACTTACTAGTTCTAGTAGCTTTTTTGTAGATTCTGTCATATTTTCTCCCTAAATGATCAGGCTGTCTGTGAGTAAAGACAGTTTTACTTCTTTCTTTCCAGTCTAGATCTACTCTGTTTCTTTTCCTGGCCTCATTCCCCTGGCTGGAGTTTCCAGCACAGCATTAAATAGAAGTGGTGGGAACAGACATTCTTGTTTTGTTCTTGATTTTAAAGCCTTTCACTGTTATATATGATGTTAACTGTAGGTTTTTTTGGTAGATTTTTTTCTATTCCAGGTTCCCTTCTAATACTTATTTAGTGAGAGCTTTTATCAAGAATGGATGTTAAGGGCCAGGGATTTAGCTCAGTGGTTCTGCCGCCTGCCTTGCAAGCGCAAGGACCCGGTACAAAAAAAAAAAAAAAATGGATGTTAAATTTTCCTATGTCTATGGAAATGACCATATGATTTTTCAGCTTGTTAATTTGGTAAATTGCATTCACTGATTTTCAAACTTTAATCTATCATTAAATTTAAGTCTGTTGTCTTATTTTCTTTTTTTCCACTTGTTCTTTGTTTTCTTTTTCCTCTCTTTTGCATTATTTCTCAAGTTATTACATTTTATCTCCATCCTTAGCATTTTAACTAGAGTTCTTTGCTCTGTTACTTTGACAATAAAGTTTATAGTATATGTCCATAGTACAGACTACTATCAAGTGATATAAACATTTCCATTGCTATTTTATCATGTATTTTAATTATATGTTTTAAACTCTATAGTGTAATGTTATTACTTTTGCTTAGTCCATTATATTATAAAGAAATTTAAATAAAAAGAGAAAAGTCACATATTTACCAATACAGTTACCATTTCAATGGTCTCCATTCCTTAGTGTTGATCCATGTTTATATCTATTATCATCACCTTTCTGACTGAAGTGCCTCCGTTACTATCTCTTTTTGTTGTTGTTGCTTTGTTTGGTTTGGTACCAGGGATCCAACTCTGGACCTTGTGCTTGCGAGGCAGGCAGCAGAACCACTGAGCTAAATCCCCAGCCCCTTCCTTTACTATCTCTTAAGTGCAAGTCTGCTCATGATAAATTCTTTCAGCTTTTGCACATCTAAGAAGTCTCTACTTCAGCTTTGTTTTTGAAAGGTATTTTAGCTGGGTATAGAATTTGAGGTTGATGGCTCTGTTTTCTTTCAGTATTTTAAAAACGTTGCTGTGGCATCTGTTGGTTTGCCTCTTTTCAATGTGTGCCACATTTTAATCTTTTTTCCTCTGCAAATAGTGTGCCTTTTCTACTGT